TCGTCCAACTCGCCAAAGTGGGTCTCAATCAAGTCAACAGAATCATGTTGCCTCTTACGTCGACTTGACCTTGCCGAAATATTAATAGGCCTGTTTACTCTTAGCACCTCGACATACACACACCTCATCACCTCGGTAGGGATGACTTGCAAGGGTGGGTCCATAGTCTATTGGCCGTCAACTCCCATGAGAACCATACAGGGCTAACCTATGCGGGTGGCTCCATAGTCTGTTGGCCATCAACACCCATGGAAACCATGCAGTGCTCAACCTATGGGGGTGGCTCCATAGTTTGTTGGTCGTCAACTCCCTCGGGAATCATACAGGGCTAACCTGTCAACACCCACGAGAATCATGGAGGGCTCAACCTGCGGGGGCAGCTCCACAATCTGTTGGTCGTCAACACCCATGAGTACCATGGAGGGCTCAACCTACAAGTGAAGCTTCACAATCAGTTGGCTATCAACTCCCATGGGAAACATAGAGGGCTCAACTTGTGAAGGCGGTCTCACAATCTGTTGGCCGTCAACTTTTGCAGTGAGAATGGAGGGATCGACCAGAGGGGCGGCCTCACCTTTAGGACTGAGAGATTTTGTTCGAGTTGATCATTCTAATTCTTCCCCCTTATGGGGGTTCCTTCAATCCAGGCATTGTTGTTGTAACTTGAGGATTCCATTACTTGAGGCTCAGAGAACGGATGAGAACTTAGCTTTTCTGTAGTGTGTTCCCACAAATGGCACTAATTGATAGTACACGATCTGGTGTTCCCTACTAGCAGACAGCTCGGACACCGAACTAAGTAAGTTGCATAGCTAAGCTGCAAAGAAAGAGATCAAAGTGTCTGGGTTGCTTTACCCAGGGTGGGCATTCCGTTACTCAAGTCAACAAAGAGTTTTGAGAGAGCTAGAGAGCTGTGAGTGCTAATCGTGCATACCTTTTCTGAGGAAGGGAACGCCTTTATATAGGCAAGCTTTTGTGAGGCTCATGAAGCACGTTCGAGATCTTTGGTTTGTTTGGTTCGAAGGTGGTTTCACACCTAGTGTTGGACTCCACGTAAGCGGGTGGTGCTTATCCAGTCATGCCCGAAGCGGGCGGGTGATAACCGGCTCTTTTGACGTGGCGTCGTGATCTCGGGGACGTAAAAAATGATAGCCTGCTTAAGGAGGAGGTCGTCCAACGCGTTAGGCAGGTCAACAACTAGGTCCCAGTTAGGTCGACAATGTCTCAAGGGAGGTCGCCCCTAATGCCGAGGTCCCTAGCTTGGTCATGATGAGGTCATCATTTTAGTCTTCCTTAGGTTGGCGGAGGTAGGTTGCCTCTTCTTCCGACTTAGTCCTATCGAGATCTTATGCTGTGAGGTCGGCGGAGATAGGTCACCAATTGAGACTCCGTTAGGTGGGCAGAGGTAGGTTACTAGCTGGGTCTCTGTCAAGTCGGCGGAGGTGTAGGCAGGTTGACCATCATGTCATGCAGGTTAGGGGTGAGCAAAAAAAATAAAAAAACTGACCAAAATTAAATTGAAAAATCGGTTAATCGAATCAGTCGATTCGGTTTCATTCGGTGTTTTAGAAAACCGAAGGTACTGGTTCGGTTTCGATTAACCAATATAGAAAACCGACAGTTAACTGAACTGATTGGTATACATATTTTTTATATTATATATATTTAATATTTTTTATATATTATAAATTAATAAATATGCATTATATATAAAATATATTTATAATATATGATATATTATTTATTATTTAAAATATAATATTTTATATATATTTATAATTTTTTCTTATATATTTATATATTGTAAAAATAAAAAATCAAAAAGCTGACAAACCGTTCCAATGGTTAACCGATTGGTTTTTGTTCGTTTTCAATTACCAATTTTCCAAAAATCGGTAGTACCAGTTCGGTTAAAAAAAAAAAGGCCCACAGTTTGGTTAATCGAACCGTGAGCACCCCTAATGCAGGTTGCTACCTGGACCTCAGTCTGGTTGGTGAGACCTTGGTGGGAGGTCTCCCTTTGTGTCGAGGTCTCAAGCTTGGTCCTAAGGAGGCCGTCCCAATCCTAACGAGGTGTCTATAGGTCGGCCATGACAAGGTGGTGGTGAAGCACCCTTAGGGCGTGCGAGGCGCATTCGACGTGGCTTTGAGTAGGTCTCCATCATTTTGGTAAAGGCAAGTCATTGCCTACGTGGTGTTGGGGTGTCATGCGATGATTCTGGGATTGCCACATAGCGTGCTGTCACTAGAGGGCCAAATCTTCCCTCATCAAAATTTATCTTGAGAATAAGAAATTGGCCACTCTCACTAAAGCACAACTTCGATTGTGATTGGATAAACTAGACATAATCAAAAAATAATACTTGAATTGAACTTAAATGTACACCATTTAATTGGAAATGTCATAGAGCTCCATCTTCAATTTTGCTTATAAATAAAGCCCATGCACAACATGTGTCTAGACTAGTTATTGTATAATCCTACTGGATTGGTCAAGCCATTAACATGTGTTAGAAATATGATTTGTTTTACCCTATACAGTACCATGTACTATAAAAGGTAATATTTACAAAATTTAAATTTAAGTTATAGGGAAAATTCTTGAACAATACCCTAAACTTTGGGGGTTGTGTCAAGTTAGTCCTCAAAATTCAAAACATGTCTCTATAGTATTTGAACTTTCAAACTGTGTCTAATAGGTCCCTGTTGTTAGTCAACATCGTCATGTGACATTAGGTGTGCATTAAATAATTTCAAAATGGCACAATTACCCTTTATGATATTTTTCTGACCATTTTACCCCTTTCTTCTGAGTGTTTTAAGAAGGAAAGGGGAAGAAGGGTTATGAAACTAGACACCGATCAACTATTGGAGCTCCCGTTCCCCTTTTCAAGCTCTCCCATTCAACGATCAACTGTTACTGGACAATCACTTGTCTGGTTTCATAATTCTTCTTTCCTTTTTCTTCTTTGACACTTAGACGAAATCGGTAAAATGATTAGAAAATATCATAAAAGGTAATTTTTCCATTTTGAAATTATTTAATGCACACTTGACGTCACATTACAGTGTTGACTAATGGTCAATTAACAGTAGGGACCTATTAGACACAATTTGAAAGTTCAGGGTACTGCAGTAGAGATACATTTTGAAGTTCAGGGACTGACTTGACACAACCCTTCAAGGTCATGGTATTGTTCAAGAATTCCCTAAATTATAAGTATTGAACTATAAAATGATTGTCTATATATTAACTTACTCAATTTAATCAACAAAGATAATATAAGTTTTAAACTATATATATCATATTTATTGAAAATCAAATTTCTAAAGGACATGTTTTTTTTTTTCAATGGGAGAGTATGCAAAGAACAGGTTCCACGGATGGACCTAGAACCACCAAGGCCAGAACCGACTCTGGAACCGACCTTCATAGGTTGGTTTTGGTTCCAAAAACCTAGAACTGACCCCTCTAGGATAGGTTCCAGTTTCTACCATGAAACCAAACCAAACTGACCCATGCTCACCCCTAGATGGGATAGTTAATATGAAGGAGAAGCCCAAGAATCCTACTGACCCATGCTGACCGATGCCCATGCTGACCGATGCTGACCGATGTCCTATGTTTAGGAATTGGGCAGATCACTTATCATTCAATTTCTCTTTTTCTCCTATTTTCTATCAAAGCAAACATAGCCTAACTTACCTGCCTGAGAAAAGAGATGTTAAAAGGCATTGTACAGATTCGGTAGATCAACAGAACCAAATCGAAGTGATTCAATCATGGGTCAGAACCAAATCAAAGTGACTCAATTATGGGTCTGAACCTATATTGTTATATTATTAGTGGAGATACTAGGCTGAATAGATTCCATAGATTCAATATATTGTTATATTGAATCAAAGTGATTCAATCATGGTACTGCAATTCTATACAATCTAAAATGACAAATACCTTTATCCTAAAATATTAATATCTGCCTGTGTATTGACATCAATTCTGAACTGGTACCTACCCCAATTGTACTGTAAGGATAAGAATTCTTAGGGTGTGCTGAACAGTCATTCTCCCTTATATGTGCCAGTAAGTATTATTGGTATTTCAACATTTGGATTTAACTTTTACACCAAAAGCAAAGCAAGTATTGGGTTTGTAGAGTAATATATTTTTTCATGCAAAGTCTCAATTATAATTGGGTTAGAACCAGTATTATTGGTATACTTGGGTTGGCCCAATTCAAGTGTATTAGATCCAGCCCACAATTTTATAAGTACTGGGATTTGATTTTTTGTCCTCCAGCTAGGCCTGCATCCAAAACTTTGGGCCTCTGTATGTTTTAGGTTGGCCCCCAGCATAACCCTAAGGTAGCCCGAGCTTAGCCTGGTCCAATCCAAGACAGGTCTGATCATAGATTCATATATATATCATGTAGACATACATACACACATACATACACTATATATATATATATATACATTCATACATATACATATATGTATTAAAATTGAATGTAAACTGACTGACCAGTGTGAATTTGACCTCTACTACCCAAACCCAAGTCGAATATACCAAATTTCAATGTGGGTTGGAGATGGGTTAGAAAAATTGGACTTAACCTTGGGCTTTTAGACCTTAAGACTCAATTCTTAGGTTAGGCTTGATTGACCTTAATCGAAGCCCAGCCCGTCTGAGGTCCGCACTTAAAACTATAATACCTATTTTCTCATGGTATATTTGTAATGTTATCATATTATCATGCTCAAACCTGTAATTTAACAAATGAATATTTTATTATCAAATAATTAAAGCACAGTTGCAAAAACTAATTGGGTCCTATCGGATCAATTTGCTAAAATTAATTTAAAATGGGTTGGCCAAATTTGAACTGGTTCTGCACATTTACAACGTAACAGTTTAGGACCAAGTCTACCCTAACCCATCCCATAAGTAATTGGTAAAATTTTTTAACGTAAAAATTTGGGTCTTCGAAATCCAAAAGTCAATAAAGATGCATGAAATCTCTATTCTACAACACATTGCTGACACCTGACAAAGAGGGAAGTGAAAAACATTGATGGTCTGGACCAGCCACCTACAGTTGGGAATTTAAGAAGCATTTGTACACACACAAAAAAAAAAAAAAAAAAACTGAAAGAAATTAAACCACTAATTCTCTTGGGTATTTCATTAGTTTACATAAAACCCTGAATCCCATTACCCTCTCCGCGTTGCTTTGAAATTGCCCTGAGAACGGCTTGAGTCACATCTCGAGCATCCAATGCTTGGTCCTGAGCTTCTACCATGCTTTCCATGCAAAAGCAATGGTTTGATGAAACCCTAGCCTGGAGCACGTTTAGACTGGTATCCTCGAAGGCCTCCAAGATGGAAACCAGCAAATCTGGCCCCTTTTCGCATCTTACTTCAACTACAAAACCATTTTCAATCCTCTCTACTTTCACTTCCTGTTCATCCAATATAAACAAAAATTATATATAACTTATCAATGTTAATTTTTTTTTAATTTATTTAATTTAAATAAAAGGTGTGATTGGCACATCCCACTTTTGTCTTTTCCATCTATTTCATTTTCATTGGGATGTGCCCAAATCAATTCTTACATGTAAATGTCAAACTATTCAGGCCAGAATTTCCCATCTAATTACACCTGGTAAAAAAAAGTCGACCCAACCCACAATCTCACTCCCAATGAGATGCGAATACACGAATTTTGAAAGTTCTTTAGAAACTTCACAAAACCCTTGAAAGAATTTTCCCTCAACAAAACTTTATGTTTCTCAACCAAATACAACCCTAAGGTTGTGTTTGGTTTACATTCCAGTTGCAAGATACGCCAATAAATAAAATTGAGATTGAAACAAATATTTGTATATAATAAATGTCTTTCTTTATATTTTTGAACAAAAAACATTATTGAATTACATACCTTTTTAAAGGCAAAAAAATTATCAACTTTTCATATAAATGTATTATACGTACATGCATATACCCATAGTATGTATATACATTCTATGGATTCTAAAAAGTATGGGATGATGTTTAAAGAATCAAGGAATCTTACGTGTGACAAATTAGTTTAGAGCTGAAAGGATCTCCAAGCTTCTCTACTACTTGCTCTCCATTAGTAGACAAATTTTGTCTCAAAACACTTTGTCATAATAATCTCATTTTATATTAAAAAATTAGACCTCTCAATAGTCTACAAGCTAATTATTAATTAGTCTGAAAATGAACATGTGGCCAATCCAGTGGCTTCATGTAGAGAAGCTCTACTCTTCACCACACTAGTAAATCCTTTTCTTAATTATATTTATAAATATTGCATATTTTAATAGATTATACATAACCGTAAAATATGCTAAATTTTAATGTTTTAAAAAATGATTTGGAATTGGAACCGTTCTAGCCACTGGTTTTTAGGTCGATTTTGACTGTTCGGGTCAATAGGTCATTGATTGATTTAATGATTTTTTGCTAGGGATTGGGCTTAGGGTAAAATGGAACCGGTTGTTTGGACGACTCCCGGGCCAAACGGTCCGACCATCTGGGTGAACGGCGGTTTGAAAACCATGCTTATTTTTTTATTAAAAGTAAAGAAGACATATTAAGCATGTACTAATCGTTACCTAAAGCTAATTTTTCACAATCACATGTTTGTTTGATCAAAGTTTTGGGAAAATCTATGATGCAGAAAAGATATGATATGATAAGAGTTTTGACCAATCAAAACCCACCCATGAATTTTGATAAATAACACCTTACTTGCTTCCACGTTTGTGATTTCAGTTTATTAGTCAGTTGTTTTTCTCATATCATAGTCGAACCTCAAAGTTTTTGATATATTTCTTATTCTTGGAATCATAGAACTTTTCATGTAATAGGAGCTGGTTTGCTAATTAGTTCATTCAGTAAGGTGGTATTCGATAACACTTTTCAGATGTCTGAATCTGAAATATCTGCTTTTCAGATGCAATGCTTATTTGGTGTTGCATCTAAAATATGATCTGAAAAGATTTTTTTAGATCTGAAATTTTAAGACTCAAGCCCATCACTTAACGTGCTCAGACACGTTTTAGACGTGGCCAAAAGTCAAAAATACCCTTACCCCATTCGACCTCTCTCCCTCTCTTGTCTTCATACCACCGCAACTGCAACTCTCAACAGCGACAGATCTCTCTCTGTCTCTCTCTCTCTGTCTTCCCGTCACCGCTGCTACAAGTTTCCAGCGGCGGCGGTTCAATGTGTAATAATAATAATTATTATTATTAATTATAAATTATTTTTACTAATTATTAATTATTTTATTAATTAGTAATTTTTAATTATTTCATTAATTTTTAAAAATTATTTTTATTTTTTATTTATGTAAATTATTAATTATTTTAATATTTTTATAGTCATTAATTATTTTTTTTATTTTAATCTTTTTATTTATTAATTAGTAATTTTTAATTTGTTATTTTTTATTTGTATTGTTTCAATATTATTTCGAAGTTGAAAATTAATTTTTTATGAGATAATGTGAATTGAACTCAACATTTCCAAATAGTATGTTATATGGGGTAAAATAGTAAAATTAATGAATTTCAGATGATAAAGGGTTGATCTAACACAAACAAACATATGGATTCAGAGCCATTAAAAAGTAGAAAAGCACCTATGCTTCTTTTCAGATTTTAGACAAATAATATCTTTTTAACTTTTTAGATTTTAGATTTTAGATTTATCAAATGTCACTTAAGCTTCTAAAGGTTACTGAAAATAAAAGAGAAACAGAAAGTTGAAAGAGGAAATTTCTTCAAAGAACTTTCCCTTAACTTTCTGTTTTCTCTCTTAATTATTTTCTATCAAACCAAATACAGCCTCAATGGTCGATAAAAGAATCTTACATGTTTCAACTCAATTTCGAAATAAACTAGTCTATAAGCAGTTTGGATTAAGGATTACCTACTTATAAGTTACAAGAACCCTATCCACATATCACTATAGCCAATCATATCGATAACATCCTCCGGATTTGTACGTTGTTATTTATGGTGAGATATTCCCCATGTACAGCGACTCTGGATCTCCTACCCACAAGCCACAACTCTACCCCACGCCTACCCATAAAACACTACATCTGTGCATTCAAAACATTTCCATGCATGACTGCGATGTTACGTGGGTAGATCTGAAGAGGGATCTACTCCTCACAAATGGGCGCCTCACAGGCACATCCACCATGGAAAATGGTGTTAGCTGGAGATATTCTTTTGGGTTTCCAGTTCTTATAAAACCCGGTGCATGCAAACCTTTTTTGAAGGACCCGGACCCGATGCTGGACTGTTTCCTTCTTCCATTGAATGTCCGTACAGGTATCGAAGCAGTATAGAGATATTAGAACTGCACCCACTTGTACTAATTTTCTTTTTCCTAAGCATTTAGTAATTTGTCTTCAAGCTCCTTATCAAACACCAGTACATGGAAAACTAATTTATATACTAATAAAATATAGTGTGGTATGTGCTTTCGTGCGTGAGAGAGAGAGAGAGAGAGGACCGTGGGGAGTTGAATTTGCTTCAGGTGGTCTCCGTATGCTTGGTTCAGTGCCTCCAATTTGAGTTTCAATTGGTTAATGTAGTTAAAAGCATCCCTGATAATAGAACTCTTCCTCACCTGCACGAACAACACCAGCGTCATCAACATAAATGATAAACCCCACAATAACGAGCTTGCTTGTGACCACCATTAATGATAACATAAACATAAATTGATCAAGGAGAAGAAAAGAAATTAAGATGTTGTATATGTATCACATACCGATTTCGAGCTGGTGAGGGACCGGAGTATTTGAAGCTTCCGGCGGAAGGCCACTCTCTTTTGCTGTCTAGAAGCCATCTCTCTCTCTCTCGTTGTGTATGAGTTTTAGGTTGTATTTGATTATAAAGTCTTGGCTTTTATAGCTCAGAAAAGGTCTTCTGTATGCCAAGCTACAGAAGTGCCACGGAAAAATGTCAGAAGTAGCCCTGACGATTGATAAACTACAGAACACAAGTCATCTGAGTGCTGATGTGTGAATACTGAATACCTTTTTTATTTTTTTTATGTTGAATGAGCAAAAAATAAATAGAGGTTAGTATAAACTGCAGAAGGGTATTTTCGGTCTTACAATCTTACAACAGAGCAGAAGTGTTTTTTGACCAACACTGGACCTGTTTAATTAGCTAAAATGGGAGGTGCCAAAATCACTGTCCTTTAATTTTTCTGTTCACCTATTTAACTTACAAAGTAACACACAACAAATCAACAATCTACATGGTTTTTCTACAAATTATATTAGTCTGCATTTCCTTTGACGAATTGCAATGCACCAAATTACCAGAAAAGCTGCATCACAACAGAACAATTCAGATTTTCTTTTTCTTTGTATTAGCTGCAGTTAATATGGACGCAGTTGATGGGTATTTAGTAAAAGTGGGCGGGAGTTGCAGCTTTAACCAGAAGTTAGAACAGGAGCCTCGGCTTTATTGGGGGCCTAGGCCTAGCAATAGCGTAGGTAGAGTCTCAGCATCAAGGGAGATCCAGAAGAGAGAAGGATTGTTGGGTTGTTTGTTGCATGGGGAGAGAGGAATGGGATCAAGTCATGGAGTGGAGGGAGGGTCGGTCAAATCATCACGAGGCTCTCTTTTAGCTTCCATTTTTGTCTGGAACCCCAACTGGTCGAGGCATCACATGCTTAATTAAACAACTTCTGAACTCATCCTCTCTTTATTTTTGTTTTCTTTTTCCATCCACATCTATACATCCAAAACTGACCTTATTCAACTTCAGCTTTCTTATATTCAGAGACAATCTCGAAATCAAAAGCTTTAATATACTTGTTAAATCTCATCTTTGTAACCTTTCCATCCCTGCAATCTAGTAAATCTGCAGTTCTGGTCAAGAATTTCCTTCCCAAGATACATATCCAAGTGTCGTATATAATGCCAAGTTAATTACTGAATTAAATTAGAGAGAGAGAGAGAGAGAGTTGATATATATAAATGGACAGTTGAGGGCCTGAGGCAGTAGCTAGAGAGAGTAGCATCTTAAATGGGTAGGTAAGGAAATTCAGAGATAGTTAGATTCTTTTGATAAAATACCGTTGGATGTAAACAGTTGATTTGATTTCATTCTCTCAAGGTGGAAAATGCCAAGCAAATGGCCCTCGTACGTCTTAATGTCATGAGCCATGAGTCTCTTGATGTGACCTCTCCACTTCTCATTCTCCATGCTCAGAACAACATCAGAACAGAAACCCAAGAGGCAAAAGGAACGTTATTGGATTCCAGTAATTGCCCATCGTACTCAATAACTCACCCTTCACTACTGTGTTTCTGTTTTTGTGTGCCCTCCTCTTAGGGGTATGGGGTCCCTTTCCCTGTCAACCCGTGTTTTGAATTTCAATGTTGTGAGTTCTTATCCTCATCTCTCTTTGTTTGTCTATTTCTCTTTGACATGTCTCTCCTCTTAGTGTGAGACTGTGAGTGGAGTGGGTGAGCTCATATTTCTAATCTTTTGTCTACATGTTGAGGCTTTTTGATTCCTTCTTCTCGTCCAAGGAATCGACATTCACATGATATTTTTACAAGCTATATCAAAGCTAAGCATGGAATTTCTGTCATCATTTAACCACAAAATAATCATGGTTACTGTGATTAAGAGTTGTTGTTGAGGAAGGGATGATTCCAATTGGTACCACCCACTCACCCACCAAGTAGAGGGACGCCCCTCTAGAGTCTAGACTGATCATATATATGTTAATATACCTTGTATATCAATGTTCTGCTCAAGCTCAAATGATAAGTTAGGGTACCACACTAGGTGGCCTGTCTTCTACTTTTGATGCTAGATCGAGACAATGATCGGCAAAGTTTATATGGATGCATTTTTGTATCAATCCGATAAGTTTGTATATATTTGATTCATCTGTTCTTGGAACAAGGATTCTGTTCTTGGCAAGATGTCTATTTATTTGTTGATTCAATGTTTCCAATTAAGATGCATGGTAGTTTGTTTAGCAGATCTCTCATACGTCAGGTCTAGCAGGGATCTCCTTTGTAACTTGGGGGCCGTTTGATAACAACTAAAGTGACTATATTTATTGCTTTTGCTTTCTACATCTTCTAGTGAATGAGTTACCCAGGAAGTTGAAAGCATGAATGTTTTATTATCTAATAATCTTATGCACTAAAAGCAAAGCAATAAATCATTCAGTTCAGCCCATTGTAATTAAAATAGCCCCTTACCCTATTTTTGCCTTGTCAGAGCGATGTGGCTGATCAATTCTGTCCATTAGATTGGGGACTCTCTTGGTCAGCCACTTGCTATCTGTCCGGTCTACACCATCCCTGGATGCCACCTAGCTAGCATCTAGAACATTCACTGCACAATATGAGTTGTTCAGGGTTCCAAATATTCCTTTAATTAACAAGACTGACTCGATTCATTTTTGTTATGCATGATCACATGTCAATGGATTTCATCACCCTGGAGCCCATTTACGCTTCAAATTGCAATATGGATAAAAAATTACATGATTTACACCTTTGATTGGTTAAAATATAAGCAATTCTATTCACTAGAAATGACCTATTCATTGTTTCTTAGAGGCATTTAATCAAACCGTTTTTCTTTTGTCAAAAGAATTTTCAACCAATATTGTCATAGAGGGGTAAGACCATTCTTGTGGTTATTAGGTTTCCTATTTGGGTCTAGTAACGAAGCACACTAGATGAAACCCACCTACTTGACACTTGGAGAAATTCTGACCAGATCCAAATCATCTATCAGAAAAGGGACCCCCTCAAGATTAGCCGTATCTTCACTGATGTAGTGTATGCCAACCCTATATGCCTCACCTGGTATATATTGGAGCTTTGCCTACTGAGTAATACTAGCCTCCCAACCTTTCAACTTTTCCAATCTGAAGGAAAAGTGTAAAAAGTAGCTAACAACAAAGTTTTTTTTTTTTTAACTAAAACTTAAACTATGTATTAAAAGAGAATGCATTGACTGGTCCAAAATTTATCCTATATCAGTATTACCAAAGCATTCTCTTAATTCCATTGTAAGATTATTTGTCTTGTTTGGGTTTTTTACTTTGACAAATCATAGGTTTTATCCAGGTCCAAATATGTTCATGGGGCATTTTGGACCTGACTCACCAATATTCTGTACTTATCCAGTTTATGGAAAATAACCATTCCACTTGCAAATTACACATGAATCAAGATGTAGAAGGAAGATTTAAAAGTCTAGCATTCCAATTTCCAAATGCCATTATCCAATTGTGTTTTTATTGTCCGGGCTTAATTAATGCATGGTTAATTGGATCTGAATTAATTGGGGCCATTTTATCTTCTGGAACAGATCTGTGCACCTGATTATGGGTAGCTTCTCATATTTAATTTGGACCAAAACCCTATTAATTAACCAAAGTTCTGCATTCAGGATCCGGTTTCCTTCAACTAAACCGGTTCAACAAATAACCAACTATTTTGATTTGTCCTTCTAATTTAGACTAACTTGAATGTTTCGGTGACTGTAAGGATCTGATCGACAAACCAAAAATTGAACAACATGAAAAATAACAGAATAAAAGAAAACATAGCAATAATAATAATGATAAGTATTATATTAGTAGGGACCAGTGCGATGGATGGGAAAATCTGAAAGATTTAATAATTTTATTTTTTATTTAATGATTTATAAAAAATAATTATTGCTAATTTAATATGAACAAATATTTTTAATAAATTCAGTTTTATTAATAATTTGTAGTAATTTTAATAATTTTTATTTGTTTTATTCTTTTTATTAATTCCACTAATAATTAACAATTATATAGGAATGACAACAAGGTGGGTTCAGAGCAGGGCACCCCATCCCTTTCCCTACCCCATAGTCAAGACACTCTACCCCATCCCCGCCCCGTCCCCAATGTCACGCGGGTTAAGGGCAAGGTAACCACTCCTCAATGTCAAGTGAGTTCAGGGGCAAGGCACCTCACTCCTCATCAAGGATGGAGAATCATCGAATTTCCCCGCCCCGTCCCCAGTATTGGGTGGGTTCAAGTAGAGATGTAAATTGGGTTGTGTTGGGTCGGCATGACACGATCCGCATGTGGCCCGCACAAAGTGTGAGTCGTGCTGTGTTGGCCCACGAGACATTTCGGGCCGTGCCTCCCTCTAGAATAATTTGGGGGGTCAGTTTGGCATGGCCCATGGCCCATGGCCCAAGACCGCATGGGCCCGTGCCGTGCCGTGGGTCGGGCTGGTCCATGGGCTGGGCCTTGGGCTAGGCCATGCCACACACCAAGCCAAACTCAAGGCAAGGCACCTACTCCCTGTCCAATGTTTTTCAAATTGGACCAGATAGGGAACCGTTCTGGGGTTGAACGGTTTGATTGTTCGGTTCGAACGGATGACCCGCTCAGACAAAAAAAATAAAAATTTAGAAAATCAAAACAAGGCCAAAAACTGTTGTCCGGGTTGACGGTTCAACCGCCTAGGTTAGCGGTCCGCTAACCAAATAAACGGTTTTTGGACAAAAAGCGGTTTTGAGGAGAAAAGGTGTCCGATTCCCGATTTTTTTGGTCTAACCATCTGCTTTGATCTAGTTTTGAAAACACTATCCCCGTCAACCCAATATTCAATTTGATGATAGAAATGACCAAAATGATATATTGAGTATCAACCACATGGTAAATTTCTAAAAAGTACACTAAATTGTAATATTCACAAATTTAATTTTATGAAAATTTTGGAAAATTTATTGTACTTGTGTAATTTTGAAAATTTATTCAAATTTATATAAATTTTTATTAAATAATTTATTTTCTTTTTAAATGGTTTACTTACAGAATTAT